GTGTCAGAGGGCTGACCAAGGGGGGGCCACTGGCCTGGGGAGCCTGTGAACAGGTTATATGCATGGGCATAGTGGTGCTGGTGGCCCCTTAGACCTGCCTGGTGACTCAGGGCGAGCTGCTCTGCAGACATGAATACCTGCAGGCTGATACACTGGAGATCAGCTGTGACCTGAGCTCCACATGCCGCTCGGTGTCACCCACCTAGTGACTGCACAGGGCAATTTGCAGGCTGCTTGACGCAAGTGGAGAGGGTCTGCCTTGCTTTGGGGAAGTAAGTAAACCTCCTGGCCCCATCTGCACACACAGGGCTCATGGGCTTCCCTGTTCAGGCTTGGAATCAGCACTCATGTTCCTTTTCCAGGGCATCAGGTGGGAATGTGGAAGCTCCACCCTCCCGGAAGCACCCAGTCCCACTTCTGCAAAATATCATAGCTCCCAACTGTATTCAGCAATGTGGTGCTTCAGGCTCAGTGTGAACCAGCCACACAACCCCCCTGGTAAAGCAAGACCCAACTCCTGTGCTGAGCCGCCTGTGTGGCTGGCAGTACCCACACTGAGAAACAAGGCAGGAAGGACCCTGCCTATTCTCTGAGGGACTATCCATCTAGGCAACATGAATGGCCTCTGAACACTGCCTTTTATATTCGGCAAACTTTTTATGTTCAGGAGGGGCGGGCACCATACTAAGCAAGATGCATCTGAGGAAAGTCCAGAATGGATAGAGAGGAACTGAAGGTCATCTGCAGAGCGAGGCGAGGCCCCTGTGGCAGCAGAACAGAGGTTCCAAAGTCCTCCTGCAGATTAAGTGAACAAGTCCAGAACCCGGCCCTGAATCCCGGCTCCACCCCACCCACCACTCAGCTGCCCCTGGAAGACCCTAGACTCCCCTCTACCCATCTGTGTTTCTCCACCTCTCCCTGCTGCCCCTTCCCTGCTCTGACACCCCCTGGGCATGAGCAGGGTTGCTTGTGTGCCCACTTAGCAGTAGGGCACAGAACCTCTGGCCCGGGAATTTTTCCAAAGATCTTCACTTTTTTTTTCCTTTGGAGACAGGGTCTCACTGTGGGGTTAGACCGCCCCTGAACACACTATATAGCCCAGGCTAGCCTCGAACTTGTGATGATCTTCCTGCCTCAGCCTCCCTGGGATTACAAGTGTGTACCATCATACCTGGCTTGCAAGTTTGAAATATGCAGAAAAGTTTTTTAAATACACAAAGGAAAATGGCAGTAATAATTTTGGGGGTGGTATTAAGAACTGAACACAGGCCTTCACTTGAGCTACAACCCCAGGTCCTTTTTATTTTTTATTTTGAGACAGTCTAAATCACTAAATGGCCCAGACTGGGCTTGAACTTATGATCTTGACTCAGCTTGCTGAATGCTGGGATTATAGATGTGCACCAACACACCTAGCTACAAAATTAAAATTTTTATATTTAATGAAATATTCACAAAGCACAACATGATGTCATGTTAATATTATATTCATAAAATTAATTTGTGTTACCTTTTTTCTTTTTCTTTTTTGCTGTTCTAGGGAATAAATCAAAGGCTTTCACACTCAGCTATATCTCCAGCCCCTTTAAAACATCGTTATTTTGGGATGACGTCTGGCTGAGTGACTAAATTGCTCAGGTCAGGCTCAAGCTTGTGATCCTCCTGCCTTAGCCTCTTGCTGACATGACAGGCATACATCAGCACATCTGCCTGAACGTCAATCTTTCTCAGTAACAATTTCGTAGTTAGCTTGAGGTTTGCCAAGACTATTTAAACCACAGCCTATTTAAAGCCAAGGAGTTATATGCATCTAAATTATTCCAAGTAATTTTGAAAATTTCTCAATTTTTTTTTTGGTCTTTTTGAGACAGGGTCTCACTATGCAGTGCAGGCTGGTCTTCAGCTCACTTTGTAGCCCAGACTGGTCTTGAACTCGCAAAGATCCTCCTGCTTCAGCCTCCTGAGTGCTGGCATTATAGGTATGCACCACCACGCCCGGCTAAATTTCTCGATTTTTACAGTAAAATTAAGTCAGTTCATGCTGGCCTTACACTCACATAACCAGGACTGACTTTGAATTTCTGCCTCAGCTTCAGTAGTGGGCTCTCTTTCTAGCCAGGCTAACGTGTTTACTATGTATATTATGACCTGAATCTGTGAACCTTAGCAGCTATGGCAGTGAGCTTCGTGGCCTGGTGCTAACTTGTGAGAGGAGCAGGATCCATGTTTCTGCAGCAGGATGACCCCGAGGACTGGGCAGGAAGTGGCAGCATTACCTAAGGACCTGTGCAGTCCGTGGACAGAATAACCACACGGCTGGCACAGGCGCTCACAGCTGTGCAGTGTTTTTCCATCTGCCAGCTGGAGCAGGGCCCCCTGGAGGGCCCTCTCTGGTCCTAGGGAAGGCCTTCCCTGCCCCTGAGTGGCTGCTCTTCCAGGCAGCACAGGATGGAGTAAGGGGTGGTCACCAAAGGACAGGGCCGGGTTGAGTACTGGAGTGCAGCACTCCCAAGGTAGGTGACTGCCAAGGTCCCCAGGTTTCCATGGTGACATCATGGTAAGGCTGGGAGGCACAGAAGTTAAATTTTAAGGGAGGTTTACGGGCCTGGCCACAAAAAGCCACTTCAGATTCCAGGCTTTGTGCAGTCCTTTGGTGCCTGCTGACCTCTCCCAGGTCCACAGATATCCCAGAAGCATCCACCTCTTCTGATCATGGATTCCAGGTCCACAGCAGAGCTTCCAACTGCCTCCCAAGAAAACCAGCAAGGTAAACGCTCCATGGTTCATTGGCTGTAGGCACTGGGCCTCCTTCTACCCCGAGTGCCCCACCAGGCACAGCAAAACAGCTTCTGAAGCCTCAGGCTAAGGCCTCCCAGATGAGTGCACACAGGTGGCAGGTGCAGGACCAGTGCCTCGGCCACTGCTTTAGTGAATACTGCCCCAAGATGCCCACGCCCAGCAGGTCTGTGCCCTTCTAAGGAGCCTCTCTGTCCCTGGATCGCCCATGTTAGACCCCTGCTGCTAAAGGAATGGCCATTCCAGGTGCTTTACTGGTAGTGGGAAACACCTATCTTAGGGCCACACCTCACTTGTCATACCTGAGTTAGGGGCCAACAAAGCAACTCATGTGTCTAGTTTGGTCCCAAATGACTTCTTGTTTTTAGGAAAACACCACACTCATCAGTAAGTATATTCAAGTGGCTGAGGAGGAATTCTTTCCAGATGTGATTAACGAGGATGTAAGTATAATGGAGTATGTTCAAAACTGCAATGTGATACAAGAATATATTTGCTCTGGGTTTGCAAGTACACAGGCCTACCCTGTCACACTGCTTACAGGCACCTTGGCAACAGGTCCCTGCTGAGCACTGGCTACTAAAGACAGACACAGGCAAACACACACACCCAAGAGATATAACCATCCTAATGCAAAATCAGGTGTACCGTTTTTGTCCACTCCACACATAGAGCATGCTGGGTATTTGAGGGACCCAGACTTTTGTCCAACTCAGACCAATTATTGGACTAGAAGGTCCTGAGCCCACTCAGCTGGGTCTTGCAGCCTGTCACCACACTCACCTGCCTGGTACTCTTAGGGACCCCCATGAAAGCACCCAGCCCTCTAAAAGAAAGTAAAACACAGTGAGTGAGCTAGCTGGCTGGCTGTCACCGGCATGGCCATGATGGCTCAGGACATGTTGAGCCCATATTCTTCCGCCTTCCCCTCTCTGGATGCACAGCAGTGAGCCAATCACACACTCTTCCCGCACAGCTTCACCCTCCCTCTACTCCCTAATCTTGCCTCTTTCTCTTTTGCTACTAAAAGCCCCCCACCTAAAGTGATCAGTTCCAAACCTCTGCTCCTCTGCCCTTCACGGTCTCCCAGCCACAGGGGATCCAGGTGGTCACGTGGTCACGGGCACTGCTCCGGAGTCAAACAGGCCTGGGTCCAGTCCTGATTTTCCTCTTGCTAGGAAGTCCCACCAGCCCTCACGCCAGTCATGCAATACACGTTCCTAGCTCAAAGGGTGGTTAGAAAAAGCAAGGGAGACCATGCATGCGACGCACTTAGCACTGAGCTGGCATTGAACAAGCATCAGACAAAAGCAATCGAGTTAACAGCTCCCAGAAAGTCCTCTCTGAGTCCTTCACTTCTGGGTGTACTTGGTCATGACAGTGCATGGCCGCTTCTTGGTTGTGATCTGACACAGCAGAGGAGGTAAGGGAGGAGAGAGGCCCAAGAGGAAAAGCCAAATATTTGCAGGAACAGTTACAGTGCAAAGTTTTGAGGACCGCTGACGTCCAGTCGCATGTTCTGTCCAGTTTCCAAGGGTCTGTTTCCCAGGTGCTGTTTCTAGAACTCAGTTTGATGGTACGTTAACAGGTATCCCGTCCCTGTCCCCAGGAAATACCCTGGGGTCAAAGAAGTAAGGAAAACATCTGTATGAACAAGTCACATAGGTTTCCTTATTGCAGGACTCTCCACTCATTTTATTTTTTTATTTTTGGTACAGGGAATTGAACCTCAGGACCTTGCACTTGCCAGATAGGTGCTGTGCCACTGAGCTAAATCCTCAGCCCTACCTATTTATTTTTGAGACAAGACTTCACTATGTAGCGCAGGTTGACCTTGAACTCACTATGTATCCCAGGCTAGCCTCAAACTTAGGGTGATCCTCCTGACTCAGCCTCCCAAATGCTGGAACTGTAGACTTGCATCCCAGACTTTTAATACACTAACATCAAGGCCTAAAACAAGACTAAAGTCTACAGAGCCTCCCAAAGTCATTTGACTGCTTTGATGCTTAATGTATATCAAATCCACTGGGCCACAGAGTGCTCAGATATTCGGGCAGACATTGTTCTGGGCATTTCTGAGACGGTACTGTTGGATGAGATTAACATTCAAATTGTCCAGTTAAAGCAGACTGTCCTTCCTAACGTGAGTGGGTCTCATTCACTGAGCTAAAAGATTGAGTAGAATGAAAAGCTTGACTCACCCCCAAGAAAAAGTGAATTCCTCCTGCCAACAGCCTTCAGACGGACACCTCGGCTTTTCCCTGCCTTCACACTGAACCTGAAGCATTGGTCTTCTTGGCTCATGCCTGCCAGCCCTTGGACAGGAGCAGCACCACTGGTCTCCGGGGGACTCCAGCTCACCGCTCACCCTGCAGGTTTTGGGACACCGCAGCCTCCACAATCACATGAAGTGCAGAGACTCATACCTGGAATTCCAGCACTCTCGAAGGCTGCAGTAGAAAGATGACAAGTTCGAGCCCAGCCTGGGTAACTTACCAACTGAACAAGAGTGTGTCTCTAAATTATTATTAAATTTTTTATACCAGGGATCGAACTCACAAGCTCGCCAGGCAAGTGCTTATGCCACTGAGCTAAGTTCTCTGCCCTTGTGTCTCCAAATTAGAAAATCTTAAAGGGCTGAGGATGTAGCTCAGTGCAAAGGTTCTGGGTTCAATCCTTAGCAATGCAAACAAACACATGAACAAACCTGATTACTGATTCCTTTAAATAAATCTCACTCATAAACCTTAGCTGTTATCTACCATATCTATCTCTATTGCCACACCCCTTATCTTGGGCTGTTTCCTAGAGGACTTTGGGGAGACCCCTTCCAGGCACACACTTGCACACTAGGTGAAGCTCCATGCACACTTTGAGCAAAGCTGCCCAAAGGGTCAGAATTCAGGCAGGCTGCAGACCTCTGCTCCCCACCTACCCAGCGGCCAGCTTAGACACTGGGCACAGTGACCGACCCCCACCAACCCCCTACATCAGGCTTCTTTCATTCGAAGTCTGGCAGGCTGGGAAGGAGGACTATATGCTCTTTGGTGGTCTGCCTCGGGGTTTCCCATCACGTTCCCTCCTCCTCTGACGTAAGGACATTTGTGCTTTCTCCACTCAGCCCTCCCATATGGATGCTGTGTTGAGCAGCCTGCATATGAACTTCAGTCATGACCAAGGGGGAAGTGGACCTTTCTCCTCACACAGCTTCTGGTGACTCCCTGCCGGCGGCCAGAGCTCAGGACAGGAGTGCCAGGCTTCCCCGGTGCTCAGGCAACCTAGAAAGGAAGTTCTTGTGTTTTCTAAGCATGATGCACACAAGGACAGGCCCATGAGAGGAGAATTCCTGGAGCCCTCCCCCTGATGAACACCAAGTACAAGCCTCCTACAGAGCCTTGAGGTCCAGCTGGAGGCCACCTGGCTTCCAGTTTCTGAGTTCTTAGCCAGGGAGTCCCCATCTTTTAGTCTCACAGAACACACCCCACTCTATTGTCACCCAATTTGGGGACCAACATGGGCCTACCAGTCAAGTAAGACTTAAAAAGGGGAAAAGGCACTTCATACAGTCATTAATAACACACCCAAATGAGAAGTGTTATCTCAGACCGAAGGGCTGAGCTAGGGTGCAGTTCAGCTCGGGGGTACAGCGCTTGCCTCACATGTTCAAACCCTGGATTCACTTCCCCACCAATTCCACTGCCAAGCCAATTCTTAAGAGCAAATTATGTCCTGGAACAGGAGAGACTGTGTGTCCTTTTGCACTTCTGTGATAGCTAGTGTTGTGTACTCCGGCTACTGGGTCCTCCCAGGCAACACGGCGTAGGTTCTGCTGCACAGTTTGCATCTTTGGCTGGGAAGATGGCAAAGTGACAGGCATCGTGCAAGTCGTCACTTATTCTGTACGGGGCAGGGCCTGGCCTTAACTGGTGACTGCCTCGATGGCCCACATTCCCTGGGCTGCTACCCCCACATTCCCACCAAGTTGGCTCCACAAACGGGACAGCTGGTCAGATCAGCCAGGTGTGACTGTGAAGTCAGGGCACCATGGTGACCAACTGATATTTATACACCCAGTGAGTGCTGTCCGCTTCAACACAGTCACCTTGGGCCTCTCCTCCAAGTCCCCAGTGAAGCTGCCTGTGGTCACAGCACTTTTGGAGTTCCTCTTGGGGCCAAGTTAGGTGAGAAATAGTCACAGCCTCATTTTGTTTGTAAGCAGAATCCACTGTGTTCAGCTTTGTCACCCAGCTAATTTCTGGGACTTGCCTTCAAATGACATTGGCTGCATTAAAAATTAAATCCATCCCTAAAAGAAGGAGACTCGCTACCAGCGAGGATATTCGAAGAGGATGCAGAATGGCAGGTGTAACATGGAGGAGAACAAGGCACTGCTAGATCCTGCCCTGCAAGGATACAGACTGAGAACTCTGGCCCCAGAGGTTATGGAACCAGTTCAATCTTGGAGCTCGGTTTCCACCCCAGGGAGCTTCCTGTAGGATTGCCAAAAGCACCTGGTGTTGTAGTTGATACACTGTGTCAACTTGAGCAGTTTAGAAGTTTCACTGAGACTCAGCAGGGAGCCAAGGTTCTTACCTTGTAAATATCCTCATCCCCTGCAAAGAAGGGCAAGCCGATTTTATGAGTGCTACTGGGGGGGGGGGTGGCCTGTGTACAATACTAGCCAAAAGAGGTTTATTTTCTCCTTTTGCTCTGGCTGCTGCCTTGAAGTGTTGCCCCAGTGCTATGCTACCCCTGCCTTGGAGCAGCTGATTATGGGCTGAAACCTCCACACTGGTAAGCTAAATAAACCTTTCTTTTTCTTTCTTTCTTTTTTTTTTTTTTTTTTTTTTTGTCTTTTTCCGTACTGGGGATCGAACTCACGCCAGCCTGCTTGCAAGGCAGGCGCTGATGCCGCTGATCTAAACCTCCAGCCCCTAAATAAACCTTTCTTTCCTTCATTTTGGGTGTCTGGTATTTTGTCCCAGCAACAAGAAAAAAGTAACCAGGCTGGGGATTTAGCTCAGCACCATAATGTGCCTATCTGGCAAGCATGAGGTCGTGAGTTTAATCCCCAGTACAAAAACAAAAACAAAAAACAAAAAAAAAGAAAAGAAAACAACAACAACAAAAAAAAAAGTAATCAAGACAATGGTATCTATTTATTTCAACAAAGATGTGTGCAATGACTTAACCACCATCGAGCTGCCCCATCTGTCCCTTTGCACACAGCCACGCTGACCCTTCCCTCCCAGAAGACTGCATGTGGCTCTTTGCAAAAAAGCCAACTACAACCAGGGACATGGAGGGACCTGGAGGTGACTTTGGTCCCCAACCTGCTGACTTCAGCGAGACATTGTAGGTCTCAAGATCTACATCTGGAATACAAGGATCAAGTCATCCTTGACCCTCATTTCCAACTGTGCCGTTCATGTCCCTTACATCCCAGATGCTGACCTGAATGGAACACAGGGCTAACGAGTCCAACAGACCAGGTTTGAGTCCTGCTGATGACCTTGGGTGCCTCTGCAGCCTCTTTGGGCCTCAGTGGCAGCATCTTAAGAGGAGAAGTAGACAAGTGACACCTGATTCACACATTCGTCTCAAGGCTGGAATGGCTGGCATGTGATGCTCAGGGACACCCTTGTACCCAGACTCGTGCCTCTTCTGCCTAGACAGCTGCCTCCGAGTCCCCTCCCTGACTGGTTTCTTTGGAAGCCCCACCTTCCGCCCACTCCCTCCTCGAAAGACTCTGCCAGGGAAGGGCCCTGGCCTCTGTTCCAGAGAAACACAAGAGAGATAGTGAGAAACTGCGGGCAGCAAAGCAGAGAGCCCCAGCTTCTGGGCTGCCTGGGAATGCTGACAACGGGGAGGAAAGCAAGATGAACATGGGAGCAAGATGAACGCGCTCGGGAGGCAGATCTGCATTCAAATCCTGGCTCTGACCATGCGCTCTGTGACTTTGGGGATGCTACTCAGCCCCTCTAAACCCTGCTCTCAGCAGCGATAGGAGGAAAGAGCATGTGCTTGCTTCGCACTACACTTGTGAGATGCAAACCCACGAGCAGGTGGTGTGCCACGGTGTGCCTGGATGGTGCACACGCAGAGATGTGCAGTTACAGTTCTCGACTTCCAACGGCACAGCTGGCCTGGGAGGCACAGCACGGATCTGAAGAGCAAAAGGCAAAGTGTGAGAGGCTGTCCCGGGGTCCCACACAAACCCACCCTGGGAGCCCATCAATATGAAACGGGGCGCTTCTGAAGGTACGAAGTGATGTCTCCAGCAAGTCCCTTTCCATCTGCATCTCTCTAGTGATGAGCAGCTCACTCCCTCCCAGACAGTCCATTTCTGAACACTCAACATCCAGCTTAATCAAGGACTTTCTGTTTGGCCCCAAATTCATTTGTCTCAATTTTTGCCCAGATTTTGCCCCCATAACTCTACTTAGGAATTCCTCAAAGGTTAACAACCCCTACCTTCTTCTCTGAAAATAGGGCTCTGTGATTAAAGCTGAGATTCCCAGGGCTGAGGTCAAAGCTAAATACATCTGCTGACTCCTGGGTGGGGTAACTGACCACTGGGGCCATTCGTGATATAAGTGTCAGGATGGCAGAGAGAGGAATTCAGCACTCGGGAGTCAGTTCTGCAGCCTGGCTGCCTGTGGAACTGGCCTGCTGGGTGCAGTGCATAGGGTCTTGGCCACTTGGACCTCCTGGGTGACCTCTGCAAGGGCCCTAGAGACATCCCTAGGATGGACAAGTCCTAGACCCCACACTCAGCCTCTAAAGGTGCATGGCTGTGACCTTGAATCCCAAGGAGTAATAACAAGAAAGTCACCTGGCACAGCTCTCTTTTACATGCCCCAACCGAGGGAATTGGTGTCAGAAGATGCAGAAAAGCCAGATGGTACTTCCCAGGGTCAAGGTCCACATGGAGAGACGCCCAGGGCCCTTTTCTTGTCCTTTTCCCACATCCGTCTGTGCCAGTGTAGCTGGCGTAGGAGGACAAGAGCCCCTGGAGACACAAGATTAATGGCCTCCCAGGCAGGTGAGCAGCCACCCCCTCTCCAGGCCCTGTCCTCCACGGCTCCCCAGCCTGACTGGCTTCATGAGGCATGGCGGGAACCTGGCTGGGCATCTGACCTTCAGCAGCAAACAGAGCCCTCAGCCAGGGCTGCCAGTGCAGTGCCAAAGGCACCAAGTCTCCAGGCTAAGCCCTGGCAGGGGTGGGGGATGGAATTGCTGCTAAAGTGGGGCTGGGAGGTGACAGGGGAGCGGCTGGGCAGGGGGCCCAGCAAGGACGGAAGCCAGCTTCTGGGGCCCTCTGCCCTAGCACCGGCTGCCAGGTTTGCATAAGGATCCCTGTTCTTTGAGGTTTCTTAGAAGGCTTTATCTGCTTGCTTGCTTGCATATACTTGGCCGGCTTGATTGCTTTTCTGATTCTCTTTTAGCTTTTGCATCACTGGGAATTGGACCCAGAGCCTTCCTACTGAGATACATTCTAGTTCTCTTTAAATTTTTCTTTGAGACAGGGTCTCACTAAGTCACTAAGTTACCCAGACTGGGCTTCAATTTACAATCGTCTTGACTCAGCTTCCCAGCATGCTAGGCTGGCTTTCTTAGTTTATAAATTAAAACTGTTTGTGTTGTAGAATGCTCTTGCATGACCCAAACAGTAAAGCTAAAAACAAAATCTCACCAAATACCAGGATCCCCGAGCCCATTTCCCATAAGTAATTCAAAAGCAGTCAGTTTTTGGTGCCTCCTTCCAGACATTTCCAAAGCATGTGTCCAGCATTCGGAACTTCAAAAATCCATGAATATGGCTTCACTTGGCCCATTGCTAGCTACCTGTTTTTTAAAACTCTACAGTATGTTGCCTGTAAGTGCACATCTATCTCTACAGTGCTATGAGGGTCACTTATTAATGTCAAAAGATTTCTCCTGTCCTGTTCCATTCTGTTCTGTTCTTTTTGAGACAGGATCTCTCCTCTCTACATAGTCCAGGACAGTCTTGAACTCATGTAGCCCAGGCTAGCCTGCACCTCATGATTCTCCTGTCTCAGCCTCCCTAGTGCTGGAATTATAGGTGTGCACCACCACCCAGACACAAAGCATTGCTTGACTTGCTCTATCATTATCCTGATATACTTGGGCTTCCTCAGTTGGAATGATACACTCAGTTTAGTAGAATTTAAAATGAAACTTGCAGGTTTTCTTATTCATGACCAGTC